GATGTAACGTAATCTTGCAGGATTTGGAGCCAATTTCTACTGCGATTATTGCCCGCGTTTTAATCAACCAAATAATGATAAATCCTAGAACCTTTCCGTTTGAATATTATACCTGTAAGTTGCCTATTAGTGGATTAAATTGGACAAAGTATGTATCTGGATGTAATCTTAAAGATGCATTGATATTACTGGGACTTCAGGTTACATATTTCTAGCCTTGACTGGAGAAACACAGTGATCTACAGAACAACATTTGATGACACACACCACATGTGACTGTTTTACTATCATTGTGTAACCCTTCAAGTAGTTAATAGACAGTACTTTCACTACACAGTACTGATTCTGGGTTACACCTATTAAATTTCGTTGGTTTGTGGATATGAGTTTATACCATACATTGATTTCATTGTAGTACTTTCTCCTTTGATCATTTTCACTGAACATTTACTGCATTACTGCAAATTTTCAAATTTTAACGTAAATTCATATGAAATTAAATATGTGACACATTCAAAGACGATCGTGTAGAATTACTGATTTAGAATACAGGAAAATAAAATAGTTAGTTGTACAGCATTTGAAAAGGCTTTCTGTATGATACATACTAAATGAAAAAGTAAGACAGGCATATTTATATAGACGCAAAATAGAAATACTGGATAACAGCTAGTCTTAGGATTAACGTTTTTCAACATATCACTGCTTAGCTCATTAACAACTTGGTGATAAAAATGTTTGCGTATTCCACAAAGTACGGGATTATTAGTTCTGAGATCCAAACAATAAACTTCGAGCACAGTTAAATATTTTTAAATGAAGTAATTAAATAACTGCACTGAAGTCATTTCACTGGCCAATAAAGTGCATTTATTTATTTTCATCATTGTGCTAGAATGTTGTATAACAAGACTGGTTCGACTTTGAGAAATCCTTGTTGTCCATGATTTATATATATATTTATGATGCCTTCAGGATAGATAAAGAACTGAACTAATGATGAAACCTTATGACAGACAAATAAAGTGATATAGTATTCTAAATGTTATAATACTAAATCCAGATTCATTTCTGAAATGTCAGATGGCAGTATTAATTTAGAAGTAGGACTTACAGTGTCCACAAATTGGACTACTTTGCAATTCCTACACGAATGCACAAACCTATAAACACAGCTTTATATATATATATATATGTATATATATATATATACATATATATATACATATATATATACATATATATATACATGTATATATATATGAAGATAAGTTACAGCCAGATAGATAGATAGGTAGATAGGTAAAAAATACCAATTTAATTCACATAAATTAACTAATAGTGTTTCAAATAGTGTAGCATTTGTACTTACACTCATTGATCCCATAGATTATTAGAAATCTGCAATGAAAAGAGATTAACTACAAGTCTCTATTTAGACAAGTTTTAACTCAATTTACAGCATCACTGTAAAATGAATGAACATCTTCAGTATTTATATCAACTTCTCATTGTCTATCGGATAGTTTAAGTCTATTTTCTAGGGGAACAGTCTCTAGACACAAACACTTCCATGTTTCCATGCAAACATTTATATTAATCGGTGACGTGGGAGAACACAGCAGAGAAATATCTCACCAGCAGCAGAAACAAAGTGAATGTTACTATATTGGATGTATTTTAAAGACAGAAGTCTAACAAAGCCTAATGATCGCAGAATGTTCACCTTTTTCTCAAATAATCATTCACAGTAAAATAAGTAATTTTAGAAAGTTTGCATATTCTAAAGGGTGCCACCGGAAATGGCGGTTATTTCACCGAAAATTCTGTCATTAGTTAGTTCACTTAAAGTTTCAGTTCCATTTATAATTCACTAAAACTACTAGAAGGGAAAAAATGAACATATGAAAGTATGTTTGCACGGTATGCTATCATTAATCATAATATTGAGGGTGCAATGATAATTTGTACGGTTTGAATTTATTATTACTTTTTTTTTTATCCTTCACGTTCCCCAGTGGAACATAGGACTTCAAGCTAGTGGCTTGAAGTTTCTGTAGCAGTGTTTATTTTACAGGATGGGGTTGCTAACCTCATGCCCAACCGTTCCTCTTTACCAGCATTATTTCTGGCTCAGTGAGGTAAAGGAGTGGGTCGGTGGCCGGGGAACGAACCCCGGACCATGTGCATGGTCGGCGAGCGTTCTAACCGCTATGCCACCGACGCACTATTTATTTATTTATATTATTACTAATTGCGAAAACTCTTGCACTCCACCAACTTTAGTCGTCTAACTTCAGATTCAGCTGTATTTGAAAATAGAAGATAAATGATACTTGGGAAAGCTATTGAGAAATTTTGTTCGTAAGGAAGACGTATAAATGATATTAATACTTTAATAAGCTTTTAGCTGACACATGGGTTTACCTGGCACTATGCAGTAATCATCAATGTCATATAAACTATATTTTCAAGCTTTTCTTTTAAAATACCGCTTAAGTAGACCGAGATTTTACTGCAAAATAAGTTGTCAGTAGACAGATTTTGATTACTAACCTTCCTCCTTCAATCCAACTGCTAAAATGTAGAAATATAGCAAAAGAAACAAACATTGAAATCAGTGAAAAGTCTAGAAACACTGGCCTATTTACGAATGCTGGAAAAATGACCAAACAGATGAACTATTCAAACTGAAAATTTGTTAAGGTTAGTTGGAAAACACTAGCAGATTGAAAGCCTGTTAAATATTACAGTGATAAAAAGTGTTTTATACATTTTCAAAAGTTCTGCTCACAAGTAACTTTAAACGCTCCGAAAAAGGGTTTGAAAAGATTGTTATTTTATATGTTTTTACTTATTTGAAGTACTTTTTTCACTTCTAGAATTATTCGTCGGAATAAAACTCAACTTGGCAAACAGTTTTGTTCTGTGCATATTTATCAACTAAGAGCTCAGTCACAGGTATTTAAAAGTGCTTTTTGATTCCATAACGATAACCTAGAAAGTTATCAAAAACATGTACCCTATAACCTCATGATAACTTTGTCTAGTAAAATACATTAACCTTAATTATTAGTTGCAAAAGCTCATTTCACACAATATAAGTCATAACGCACTGGCTATATCACCTATATGTGAAACAATTAAACATTTGTTTGTAGTAAATTTAGGACAAGCTATCTACTGTTAAATGCTTTGTACTAAGTATTAAAATTATCCGGGCATCAGTGAATAAATCACTTGGTTATGCGATAACATTCCTTATACAACCAATTTCTTGTTTCATCTTTCTTGGTAAAGTTATCGACTGAATTCCTAGCTGTGAACAGTGTGTTCAGTCATGACAATTACTTAAAAAAATACCTTTTGCATTACATTTTCTACTTAATTTTTATAGTGAAAGTAAATCCTAAAAGTATGGAAATCACAATACTTCCAGAGCGAAAAGATTCAAAATATCTTCATGAATTTTAAAACAGAAATGATTAGTTTGTACTGACATATCCGCCCTTTCTATGTTTACTTGAGCTGGTCTTTGATTACTTCCAATAATAACCGAAGATAAACTTTACGAAATGATAGGAAAGTGAGGTTTAGTATTATAAAACACAAAATAATTGAGCAAAGAATATCCTTTCCGATAAATCCCTCTTTTAGCTCTACAATTATATATATGTTTATATACATCGAATATTCTAAATTATTAGTCAATAACAATACTAGTGTTTTTTAAATAATATCGATTTGTAAAGTAAAATCAATGCAGTTACAGTTCATTAAAGATGCTCAAATTATAATAATAACAAAGATATAGTAGCAAATAGAATATCAACTAAAATTAGAAAAGTTCCACAAAATTCAGGATCGTTCACACCTAGATGGCAAAGGTAAGGATAATGTCTGAACTAACTTCTTTTGGATGCATAAATTAGGCTTGTTGATATGGATCCTCACAGTCTCACCAATATTTAGTAGTCAAACTCTTAAGGCGAAATTGAGATTCGTAGGTATGCGGTAAATGACCTTAAAAGCATGGTTAATGTCAATCTTGTGTTCTGTATTCACAAGATGAGATAGGATAGTGGTGCGAATAGATTTTGTTTGTCCTTTGCGTAACCACACAGGATAAGAAACACGCCTAATTGTACGGCTTATTTAACTGGTTCCACAGGAGCAGTTAAATTGGTAAATACACATGGAAGAGGCAAAATGAGGCAGTTTGTCTTTTACTCCCGGACGCAAAAGAGGAGTGGTTCTGAAGACACTATGTAATTTGGCAGTAGGCGATGCTCTTTTTACCTCACTTCGAAGGCGCTGTGTTAGTATCTCGTTGATGTTGTCCCCAAGGAACTGCATTTGTAAGAATAAGGCCTTTTTTGGAACTGTTGGTAACTTGGGCTGCTTTGGTTTCAGATTCATATTCTTATCAATAAACTTTTCTGGGTAACCATTTTCACGTAGCAACCGTTTAATATTGTTAATTTCCTCATCAAGACATTCATCCGAGCAAATTGCCCTTGCTCTGTGAACCAGGCACTTTATCAGATTGCATTTGTATTTGAAGGGCACTTTTCAGTTAGCGAGTAGATTGCTCTGTGATATTAATCACATTATTTAAAAAAGAACCAAGTTATGCGTAACTAATTTAGACAGCAGTGAGTTTATTAGCAGGCCATTATAACCGAATCTAGCCCCCTAAAAAAACAATGTGATTGCCTTAGAACCTTACAGTTTTAGCAATGCAAAAGCTCACTGTTGAAGAGTAACGAACCGAAATGAAACGACCCTCAAGCGCTCCTTAAGTGGCATACATTACTCACAGGTATTAAAATGGACAGTAATGTAATAAAGTGCAGGTTCGTTCACCTTAACAGCTGGGAGTGGAAGTAAATGTATGCTCTGAGTTCCATACCGGTCATTATTTAAATAACTATTTAACGAGTCAAGTTTTACATTAGACAACATAAATAATGACTTAAAAAATCTTTTATACGACTTACTTGCATATCTTTGGTATCATGTCTGATATATCTGAATATAAGTCAGAATATATTTTAACTGTTTCTGGTAACTGAATCTGTACTTGTTCACTGACAATCCCACCTGGAAATGCAATCACCAGTGCTAATAATCCAGCTGCGACTAGTAAACACTTAACACGACATGGTACGCTAACTGTTGAATCAGTTAAGTGTTTGCCATTTTGACTAATACCAACACTGCGATTTAGACAGATAGCTACTAGAAGAAAATTGTTCAATGCAACAATAAAGTACATTAGGAATGCAGAAATTTTGCACATAACATTGCCTAACAACCAATTCTTGTAGACAGCTGTATACGCTGTATACGGCACACCAAACCACGCCAAAGCTAAATCACATAATACACGTATGATTAACATTCTTCTATTGGCTAATGACTTAGGATTACGTAGTTTGCGTATTGTGTGTATTAACAGTAAATTAATCAACGTTCCAAATACTAATATTAATATATACAGAACAAGTAATATCCGCTTGTAAGGATTTTTTAAAGTATTCACGTAATCTTCAAAAAAGTAATAAATCTGTCTGGATGTGTTTATTGTTGATAGATTAGATAAAGTCAATTCTAAAATCAGTTGAATCTCATTTGTTGCACTCATATTCTGCTCATACATTCGTAACAGCGTCTGATTATATTGCACATGTGATTCATTCATGCTTCGCGATTTGTACACCACTAAGTATTAGTTGAAATGTTGAATGATGAAAGATACTGAAAGTAGATGTTTTTACCGTTGAAAATGAAGATGACAACAGAAACAGTTATCTTAAACCTTATTTACTTTCAGTTCTACGTGTTACCTTCGTGGACTGCATGAAAATTACTCATACCTTAAGATGATCTTATGCTGCAGTGTTAGTATGTTCTAAAAATGTTATTTCTCATCATAGGACTTAATAAAATATTTTTTAGCCAATCAGACTAAAGTAATCAACTTACAACTCGAAATAAATATTAAAGTTTGATTGGTCAGTGGTTTCTCAATATGTTTCGTGCGCCAATAGGTCATCAGCCGGTTATAACTAAAATCACACAGTTCTATTTTGCTTTCCACTAATCAACACTATGGAAACATGAAAATATCAGGGCAAAATAGCTTCACCGAACAGTAGTTCGTCTGTAATTTTAGACATATTGACAACATAAACGGGTGAATACTAGCAGGATCAAGCCTGAGGCTGACTGTCCTTATAGAAAGCATTTCCGTACTCAACCACTAAGTCAGAAGCCAATTTTACTGGCGTTTTGTAAATCTTACTGTCATAAGGAGTATCACTACCGCATTGGAAAATCACTGGTCAGTAAGTGACTCCGAAATCCATTTATCCCGCTGGTCATTACTTCCTAGACAAAATCTACTTCCACTACTGAATTATAATATTGCATTAAACCAGAAGAATTCTAAGCATGAGCGTTATTCACGCTAATCCCCTAATTCCCATATAATCCGTGAACTTCATAACAATGTCTAACTGAAAGTCGTATACATTTTTGGGGCTCTCAAGATGTTCATATCTTTATGTGCTTCTTTTCATTACTGTGTCTACTTTCTGCCTACGACAAATATCATACCATACAGCAGTTCCACTTTTTAAAAAAGCTAATTTCTGAACGCTGTTGCACAGAGCAATTACTGTTTGACATTTAGGATTATGGTTTTTCTTAGCTAAAAAACGTTGAGCAACTAAACGTTTCCTCGGAGTCATACAAACAGCTGTTACACTCCATTGATCAATCAGTTTAAACTACATTTATGTATTATACTCCTTGGTGATCGTTAAGGACAGCCAGACAGATTCAAAGATTATACAGAAGGAAAGGTGTCCAGTGAGAAGTTGCTGTTTACACCGACATCATCTCCAAGCTGTATAATCGCGTGCATATGGTAGATGATCTTAGCAACAAGAGGAATGTTTCCTAAGATGTGTCATTAGAATTGTAAGTTTTAGATAACAACAACGCAACACGGAAAGCATCAATCGGGTAGAAACTAAAGTAAATCAAGTAAGTTTCGTGACATAATGTAACAGACGGGATTGGACAGAAGTTAACTCAAAATGAGGGGCGATCGAGTTACGATCAATTTCAATAGAAGTGGTATTGTAGTAGCGGTGGCAGGGAAAAAATAATAAAACAAAAAAGTTATAATTAAAAAAATACATATTCAGTGTTGAGACGCACTAAGTCAATTGTATGTTCAGTGATTGAACAAAGTATTTCTGTATACAGGACCTAGGATCTAACAAAAAATGAAACTGAATATCACACAAATATATACGACACTAATCAACTCAATCTTACGTTATTGTCCTCTCCCGCCAACAAATAGTTGTGAGCAGAGACGTTTCGACGTTATTGGTGCTACACACTCGTGTTACTTCTTATTGCTGATTTGCTTAACCCACTGTATTATTATTATTATCACTACTATTGTTTCCTTCAGTTCCTAGGGGAGCATAGGGCTACAGGCATACATCTCCATTGCCTTCGTTTCTCCGCCAACATTTTCATCTGCATCCACGTCTGCCCACATGCTTTCATCTCCTATTCACATCACTTCCTCCATGTCACCCTCTCACTGACAACAAACTCACCGCTTCCCATTCGGGTTCCACTCGAGCTATGGCCTGGTGTGTGACGGATGTCATTTGATGCTTTTCTCAGATTACAGCCAACTTGCCTCTATTTCTTCCCTCACATTTGTTGCACAGTTGTTTCCTGCTGAGTTCGTTCGTTCGGTCATTGCCAGAGATTCCACCCTGTGGCCGATCTTTTCTGACCGGCCATCCGATCTTGAGTGGTGTTGAGCGAAGACAGTTATCATGAAGGTGTGTAGTCTGTTTGAAGTGCTCTTCGTGACGCCCAGTGCAAGTCTCTAATCCATAGAGTAGCACTGACTTCACACTGGAGTTGAAAATCCGAATCTTATTTTCATTTCCATGCTGAGTGCTGTTGACCTCCACAAAGACTTGAGAGTGATGAAAACTTCCCTCGCTTTCCCCATCCTCTCTTTGATATCCTCGTCAGTTCCGTCCGCCTGTAGTTGAAGCGATGCTTCCCAGGTAGGCAGGTAGGTAAGTGGGGGGACACTTCTCTCAGACTCCTCCCATTTATGCTGACTGTTGTCTGTTGTTGATGTTGTTGCTGTTGCAGCTGACCAGGAATCTTCATCACCACATCTGTTTTCTCTGTGTTCACCTGAAGGAGGTTCTATCTTTGATGTTTCTTCCGTCAACTTGTTGCTTTTCACTTGCATATCTTCCAGTCTGTGGGAAATCAGACACATATATGTTACCGGCGAAGTCCATATCCTCCAAGTGTTTTGTGTGGGTCCATTTTATGCCTGTCTCCTCGTTGACCGGTCTGCTGTCTGTCGCAATATCCAGTCGATGACAATCAGGAAAATCATTGGTGATAGCAGGCACCCAGTCAGCCAGCCAGCCTTGTCTTACTCCCGTCCTCACTTCTTCGAATGATTCCGTGAGTTCCCCGTTGTGGATTACTTCTCATGCTGCATTGTCGTACAGCTATTGGATGAGATGTTTAATTGTCGGCAGCAATCCGTAGTAGAGAAGTAGTTTCCAAATCACCTCTCGATCGACACTGTCGAAGGTCTTTTCAAAGTCGATGAAGTTGAGTGAGGTAGAGAGGTGACTTCCATTCCAAGCTCTGTTCAATGATGATCCGTAGTGCCGCGATTCGATCGATGCATGACTTGTTCCTCCTGAATCCTGTGTGTTCCAGTTGAAGTTTTTCATCCATGGCAGCATGTTTGATTCCCTCCAGGATGATGTGGCTTAGTATTTTGCTTGGGATGGACAGGAGCATAATTCCGCGCCAGTTCTTGCATTGACTTAAATACTCCTTATTTGGCAGTTTGAATAAGTAGCCTTTCTTCCAGTGAGTAGGTACCTTCCCGTCGTTCCACACCTTCTCCATTAGTGTTGTTATTAAGTCTGTTGATGTCTCTGGGTTCATTTTCTACCACACTTTTTCACCTCCATTTGTCTCCTCTTTTGATTATAGAAACATGAGCTCGTTTCCCAGTGACAGTTTATGGTGCTCTCCACTTTTGAAGGTATCTCCGTGAAACCTGTCTGCAACCAACTGTGTGCTTTCTCTACTACACTTTACTTGACCTTCAACTTCAAGCGTTATGCATTTCATATTTTTTGTCTGTTCGAATTCTGCTGCATCCTTCTTCTCTTCATGCTTCACGTTCCTGACTGCTTTTAATCGTTCCGTTTGTAGTCTCTTCTTATTCGTAGTGCCACTGGTTCCCGCTGCAAACCTGCAATTTTCTGTTACCACTGGTTCGTAATTGGTGTCTCTGTTGTGGCTACCATTGAGCTCATCTTTATCTTATCCTAGACTATAAACATTAAACAAAAATATTCGCCCACACTTAAACAAAAAATTAACCATTGTAAAGTTAGGATCTACTATTATGCCCTATTTTTTATAATCAAAAATGTCGTCGAAGTAGACAGATTGTAAAATCTCATTGTTTAAATAATTTCATACACAATTTGTAATCGTTAAGTGACAGGAAAACACATTAACAGTCTGCTGATGGCTTTGAATTCCCAGTAGGATTATACACTAACTCCATAGTAAAGACAAGTAAAGATGTGTGATTTTAATTCAAAATGACAGTCTTATTTCTACTGTACTAGGCTGATTTCACCTAGCAAGAGTATTGCTAGAAACTATATGCTTTAAGCATAACAATGTAGTAAATATAAAAGCTCAGTGAGATAAACTTTTTTTATATTCAGCGGCTTTCATATGGACACTATAAGTCAGTCTGTGAGGGATGAAAAGCATTTTTGATGAATAAACTACCCTTGGTGTACCATGTTACCTATCTACGTATAAAAATTACCGCATCATCACTGCTTTAATGCGCTTTTTATACGAGATAAATGAATATTTGTCTTCTGTAAGAATAGCTTATTAAGACCAGATAAAAAAATGGAAATAGGTAGAAAAACTCTCAGAAAGAAACACATACATATATACCTAAGACTGTCATATTTTTGTAGATATTTTAGAAGTAAATTTCAGCAAATGTGTAAAAATCTGCGATAGCTGTTGCTTTATTTTAAGGGTTGGAGTCTCTAGCCTCACACCAAACCTTCCTTCTTCTTCAGGCTTATTAAAGACTAGTAAATTACATGAGCTTTTGGAGTTTATGGGATGGGAAATGAACTCAGACTGCTACCGAACTACTGAATCATCTAAGAATACTACTACTAGTTTAATTAACAACAATCTAAAGACGTTTGGAGTCACTGTTTTAATGCACAAATCAAATACTATGTTAATTTCCTTATCAGATATATCACACTGTGTTATGCTTTTAACATACTTTAGAGTTCATAGTCATTTCAGTCATTACTATACAAGTTTGAAACTTGATAATGAACACTAAATTGTATTCGAAACGTCATCAAGTATTGAATACTTTTTTCACCGTATGATACATCCAACAAGCAAATTGATATTTAATTATATGTTACCAAGATGTCAAAGATTTACATACACAATTCACAAAGAATACTTTTCGGTAATGTTATCACCCACCTATAACTTTGCAATTCCTTCTCACGATCATCATACACTCCAAATTTTCCAAGATGTATGTGAAAAACT